GACTCATTTTAACGCTGTTTTATAATTTCTGGGCGACTATACACAGTAGGGAAGTGGGACCGTGGGAGTAGTCATAGTTAAAAGCTATTCGCAGAAGCACATTTCCTCGTCAGATCCGTCCTTCCTGTTGGGTCCCATTCATATCCCCAGCTTCCAATGGATATTCTCAGTTTCGCAGACCTATAGAGAGACACAGAGGCGTGGTTTTTAAATTTTTAATGCGACCTAGGGACGGAAGGAAGTACAGGTGGACTCAAAAACAAAAAACAAAGAGCAAAAAATAGGCAAAAAAAAAAATAATAATAATAAATTTTTTTTTTGATGGTATTTACTGGAGTCTCAAAACCCTTGGCTTTTAGATTTTCTGCAAATGAGGTAAACTTTATTTTACCATTTCCATTTTTTTTTTGTCACTTTTTGAAATCTGAGCTCTCTCTCTCTCTCTCTCTCTCTCTCTAAAATAGTTAAAAACTTTCAAACTTCCCAGCATTGAAAAATTTCTTTTCTTATTTAGCGATTTTCCCTGTATTTAGGTAATGTCCATGACTAAGCACTTACACACACACACACACACACACATATATACATACGTATATTTTTTTATTTATATATAATTAGTGTTTGAATCTTTTATTTATTTATTTATTTTTTTGACAGGTTCAAAGAGTTTGTGGGCACTACTCAGATTTTGGTTGCTTTGAAAATAAGGATTTTGGGCAGATAATAATTGATTTGAAGATGTGGGTTTTGATGGGTTTGAAGTGAAAATGATTGAATCTTTGTAGCTAAAGTCTTGGTTTTGATTAAGTAAGTTCTTCAGATCTGATTGTTGTAAAAAATTGAGGTTAATTCTATTGAATTGGGATTGTGCCATTTAGTTAAGAAAATTTTTGCAATTTTTCAAGTTTATCTTAGATAAAAAATTCTTTGAGTTTCAAGATTTTAAATGCTCCCATTAGATCTTTTTAGATATATGTAGGACTTAAGCATCTTGCTTATTTTATGATTGCGAGTTCTAATGTTTTAAGATGGATCCTAGAGGAATAAAAATAAACAAAAATTTCCTTTTTTAAGTGCTTTATCCATAATTTTCTTTTTTAGCTCTTGTAAATTTTAACCTTCAGTTCTCTGCATCTGTAATGCCGTGGATATGCATTTGTTGTAATAATTATCTAGTTCGTCCTATTTAAGTCTCTTTTTATTCATAATCTGTCTCAGAGTAATGTGGCGGCTTATCGATTTCCAAAATTATGCTTTTCTTGATTTTCATATTACTCTTTTATACTTTTTTCCTCTTGTAAGTGTTTGATTTGATTCTCTGTTTGTCTGGCTCTGCAATGCTGCTACTTTCAACCCTTGCGACTTAAAATGTACATGCTTTGTAAGTAGTATTAAAACTGTAAGAGTTGAACTTCTTTTTCTTATTCAATACTGTCCAGTTTTATCTAATCAAATTATAAAAAAAATCAGTTACATGTTAGTTCAAATAATGATATACTCATTTGAAGGTCCTATAATTATCTCTCCATTTCAGATGTGCTTTCCTTTTCAAGAATGCATGGGATTTTAGCTTATGCAGAATCAAGAGATGGTAAATATGGATCTTCAGGCAGACAGTTCTAGATTCGGGTCATTACCCAATACGACATTGAGGAATCTCTCATCGTCCTCTTCAACATTCTTTTCTGCAAATCAATCACCCTTCTTCTCCCCAAGATCGCCAACAGGTCGGTTATCAACACATTCTGATAATCCATGTCATGGTGCTAGTACAAATACGTGCCCGGAAACTCCAGAACCGGAATCTTTAACAAACGTCAGATTTGCCTCAAATGATGTTTGCCATGTTTCAGCAGCTTGTACCTCAAATGATTTCTGGAAGGTAGATCATGTTTCTGCTCCAACATGCATATCAAATAGTCCTTTATCGAGTTATAGTATTGGTCATGATGGTTTCACGAGAAATAGGGGTAAGAGCAAAAAGATTGGGAGATTGGTTGAAACTATGGTTCCTCCAACTTCTTTTTCTTCTAATAGACTCAGGAGTTGTGACGTGTACATAGGTTTCCATGGCCGCAAACCTTTATTGCTTAAGTTTACTAATTGGCTTCGGGCAGAGTTAGAAGTTCAAGGATTGAGTTGTTTTGTGTCGGACAGAGCTCGGTGTAGGAATTCACGAAAGCACAGCATTGTTGAGAAGGCAATGGATGGTAGTACATTTGGGGTTGTTATCTTGACAAGAAAGTCATTCAGAAATCCACACACCATCGAAGAGCTCCGGTTCTTCTCGAGCAAGAAGAATTTGGTTCCTGTATACTTTGATTTGGGTCCAGATGACTGCCTTGTGAGGGATATAATTGAGAAGAGGGGAGAGCTGTGGGAAAAGCATGGCGGTGAACTCTGGCTGCTTTATGGAGGACTCGAGAAAGAATGGAAAGATGCTGTTAGCACCCTTTCTCGTGTTGATGAGTGGAAACTAGAGGCTCATGAAGGTAAATGGAGGGACTGCATATTGAGAGCTGTCACTCTTTTGGCATTCAGGTTAGGAAGGAGAAGTATTGTAGATAGAGTAACTAAGTGGAGAGAGAAGGCCGAGCAAGAGGAGTTCCCTTTCCCTCGAAATGAGAATTTTATTGGTCGGAAAAAGGAGTTATCTGAACTGGAATTCATGCTTTTTGGTGATGTCAGTGGGGATGCAGAGAGAGACTATTTTGAACTCAAGGCCAAACCAAAACGAAAGAACTTAACAATTGGTTCGGTGGATGAAAAGGGAAGGGACAGATACAATGAAAATAGCAAGAGAAAGGGGAAAGAACCGATTGTATGGAAGGAATCGGAGAAGGAAATTGAAATGCAAAGCACTGAATTTTCTCAACATACACCAAAGCTAAAGAGCACTGGAAAGCACGGAAGGAGAGTGAGATCGACAAAAGTTTTGTATGGCAAGGGAATTGCTTGTGTGTCAGGAGACTCGGGCATTGGGAAGACAGAGCTACTTCTTGAGTTTGCTTACAGGTTCCACCAGAGGTACAAAATGGTTCTATGGATAGGAGGGGAAAGCAGATACATTCGACAGAATTATTTAAACTTGTGGTCATTCTTAGAAGTCGATGTAGGGGTGGAGAATTGCATGGAAAAAAGCCGGACAAAGAGCTTTGAAGAACAAGAAGAGGAAGCCATAGCCAGAGTTCGAAAGGAGCTCATGAGAAACATTCCTTTTCTTGTGGTGATTGATAATCTAGAGACTGAGAAGGACTGGTGGGACCAAAAACTCATAATGGATCTACTTCCTCGTTTTGGTGGGGAAACCCACGTTATTATATCCACAAGCCTCTCTCGTGTAATGAACCTCGAGCCATTGAGACTTTCTTACCTGTCAGAGGTAGAGGCAATGTCTTTAATGCAGGGATGCGTTAAGGATCTCTCAATTACAGAAATCGATGCACTACGGTCTATCGAGGATAAGCTTGGGCGGTTAACTCTTGGACTTGCTATTGTGGGAGCAATACTGTCCGAGCTTCCTATAAATCCAAGCAGGCTATTGGATGCCATAAATCGAATATCGTCAAGGGACACGACAAGGAATGGTAGGGAAAATCAATTGCTGCGGAGGAATAATTTCCTTTTACAACTCTTTGAGGTTTGTTTTTCCATATTTGACCATGCGGATGGACCAAGGAGTTTGGCGACTAGAATGGTCCTGGCAAGTGGTTGGTTTGCACCTGCTCCTATTCCAGTGTCTGTTTTAGCACTGGCAGCTAATAAAATTCCCGAAAAACAACACCGACGCAGGTTATGGGAAAAGATTCTGCAATCCTTAACTTGTGGCTTCACATCATCATACGCTCGAAGATCAGAAGCTGAAGCGTCTTCATTATTAATAAGATTCAATATTGGACGAACTTGTACTAAGGAAGGTTACATTCATTTCAACCAGCTTGTCAAAATTTATGCAAAGAAGAGAGGAATCACCGGAGTTGCTCAAGCCGTGGCACGTGCTGTCATTAGTCGAGGGTCAATATCACCTCACTCTGAACACATATGGGCAGCGTGTTTCTTGCTTTTCGGATTCGGAAAAGACCCTGTAGTAGTCGAGCTTAAGGTGTCTGAATTATTGTTTCTTGTGAAAGAAGTAATCTTGCCACTTGCTATTAGGACATTTGTTACCTTCTCAAGATGCAGCGTGGCTTTAGAACTCCTCCGACTCTGTACAGATGCATTAGAAGCCGCAGATCAAGCATTTGTCACCCCAGTCGAGAAATGGTTGGACAAGTCACTTTGTTGGAAGCCTACCCAAACCAGTGCCCAACTGAATCCGTACCTTTGGCAGGACCTCGCATTGGCACGAGCTGCTGTGTTGGAAGTCCGGGCTAAGCTAATGCTACGAGGGGGACAGTTCGATATAGGGGATGATCTCATTCGGAAGGCTATATTTATTAGAACTTCAATATGTGGTGAAGATCATCCCGACACGATATCTGCTCGGGAAACGCTTAGTAAACTTACAAGACTCCTTGCTAACGTTCTAAGTCATACATCACCATAGATTTTAAACTTATAAACAGTTCTACAGAATTTTTTAGTAATCTGCTCTGATAAATCTCTATACTATCCTACAGATACTTTTATCTATTCTATAATTTATGTTCAAAAGTTTCTTCTGTAAATAACATTTCTCTCTCCTTGCTGAGGTCATTTGGTTTATATTGGTCTCAATTCTGAAGCTGTCATACTAATGAATAATGATTCCAGATTTCTTGTCATGGATTGTTATTTTCTGCATTGGAAGTTGGAACCTAAGGGACGTGTTAACAGTTGGCCCTTTTAGATAATCTGTTTGCTCCTAGGGTCATTTTTTAGATGACAATTATATGAACCGCTTGCCTTTAAAACTGATATATAGAAAGGAACTCAAAGAAGTTACAAGTCACGAACTAAGCTTCGTCATCTAGGGGCAAAGAATGCACTGGTCCAATTATCCCAACAATTTCAACACAAGATTGGTATTAAAAAAACAAGAATTTTATACAAATATAATGTACTATGTACACACAAACTTAGGCAAAAATTGCATTGGTCTATCGATCCCTACCAGTTCCACACGAAATGGGAATCCCATATACAAGAATTTTTTACAAATATAATGACCACTCAAACTTGGGGCCAAAAAGGCATTGGGAATCATCCCTACCAAATGTAAGAAAAAGAATAAAAGTGTCTCCAAAGACAAATCAACGGACCTAGAGTTGCTTCAATGCATTTAAACTTTCACATGCTCCAAATGCAAAAGCTAAAACCCGAATTGCAGTATTTCAGCGGCTACACATCGATAGGAGGACTGAATATCGTTTCCTGCATTGAAGAAGCCAATATCTTCATGGTACTGTCGAGGTGATGACCAATGTTATTATGAACAAAAGATCAGCTAAACAAAAATAGGACTTGAAAACTTTTCACAAACCTGATCACAGACGGGACAAGTATCACTTCTTTCCATCCACCCGAGAATACAAGCCAGGTGAAAATGATGATCACATTTTGTGAAGAGTTTTGGATTCTCTACATCATATTCTGTAGGGAGAGAGAAAAAGTTAAGATTTACTTCTTCAAGTTCAAACACAAGTTAACAGGAGTGTATATCAGTAGTTGAAAAAGAGCAACTGATTCTAATCACCTTCAAGACAGATGGGACAAACATCCTCCTCATCCTGTGGAGATGAAACGAGAGGTTCAGTGGACTTCTTAAGATCGTCTTCATTCTTTACTTCTTCTGACGCTTTCAGTTCAATACTCAGTTGTGCCTTTTCGTCAGTGACTGAACTTTTTACTTTTGTGTCCAAAATGCTGACAGAGTTAGTTTCCCCAGCAGATTCTGTATTTGTGGTCTCCACAGCTGGTTCGCTCTTGCTTCCAGAACTTTCTAGATCCTGTGATGGAGTATGAGGGTGTGCTACATGTGTATCATAAGGTATTGGTGCAGGAGGTGGCCTGTAAGTGTCCAAGACCGAGGTATGTAGATTGGTATCAACCAAATGCCCTGTAGAGAGAGCAGAAATTGTTCCATGGTGAGATGACAGTGGTTCACGCTCCTCTGACACTCTTGGAAACTGCAAAACAAGTGGCATTCCACAAAGAAAATCAGACAATTTTGGTGAAGAACAGTTTGTTAGGAGTATCATTTCGTCATGATGATATACATAGAAACCTCATTCCAAAGAAGGGTGAGACTGGGACTTACTCTTATAATTACATTTTATTAGCATGTTCACACACAACACACACACACACATATTAATTAACGGTTAAGCTCATTGAAATAGAAAAAGGATTTGGTTTGTCACATTGAAAATTCAATTATTGTGAATGGAAGCTAGACTTAACTCCAACAAGCTAAACGGGAATGAAAGGAGACTATACAACATGTACATGAATTATGTGCAATGTATTATTACGTTAAATGTTCAGTTTTTCGCTAGTATATTTATTAAATTTCTTATATAATTTACTTCAAGATAATTGTTCCAAAAGTACAGATTGTAACACTTATCATAAATTTCCGAGATACATAAAAAAATCATATCTTGAAACTTTGACAATTATAATTAAACTAATAAATTAATATTTATAATATAATGATAATCACCAAATCAGTAACATAATTTACTACGGGGGGAAGTAAGTGTATTGCTTTTTATTATCAATATAATCATTGATATGGATGTAATTGTTACTGTACTCTAAAGAACTATTAGAAAGCCCTACGAAGGGAAACTACCATTAACTATTTATTTCAAAAGGTATCATTGCAAAATTTACAGAGTAAAGATGCAATATTTACTCGTAGTTTTATTAATTTAAAAAACTTTATAACCTGTGTCCACGTAGGTTTTATGATAGAATCTAGAGTAAAGGTATTTTTAATAGCCATATAAATAACATTAAGGATGTGGATTATGGAATTGTCAAGAGTACAAGATCTAGCAACAGTTTTTAAGGAGGGGAGGTCTATGTGATTATTATACCCCTAAAGGTAGAATTCCATTCAAGAAATCCGCATTTAATGGCCATTATCTTCGATTATGAGACTCAATCTAATTTGTAATAAGTATTACACATCAATGCTTGATTCAGATTATGAAAACAATCCAAATACCATATCGGCAACAATCCAGATACCATATCGGCTGAACAACAAAGGAAAATAACCACCCAAAGAATCAGAATGCTCACATGAAAGTAAGATATTATTAAAACTTATGGTTTCATCTTAAAATGTTAACTTTGTTAAGAGGAATATCATAAACCTTTATATGTTGGTTTATATTTTGGTAGTTATTCGATGTGGGATTTATTTCTTAATATACCCTGCAAGATGGTGGCTCGTTTGAGCAAATCAATTTTGAAATATGTGTGCTCATTTTTGAATCTTATTGGATCAAATTGCTCGTTGGAGGCTTGGAACTTAACAGGCTCTGATACTATATTAAGTCTTGAAATTCCATCTTAAAAGATCAATCCTATTAAGAGGAGTAATCAAACCTTTATATGTTTATCTATGTTTTGGTAGTTATTCAATGTGGGATTTATCCTTAACAAGTTTTCCCCTGAGATTGGATTAAATTGATGGAAAAAGAGCATCAGGCATGAGGTAAAAAAATACTCACATGATAGAATGGTGGCGAAGGGTCGAGTTCGGCAGTCGTGGCTGCACAGCAGCAACAACAGCCGCCCATGTCTATTTATTTATTTATTTTATCCACCTGAAACTACTAGCACTTTGCTCATTGTCTTGTGTCCCTACACATGAAAAGGAAAAAAAAATCAGTGAAAGCATAATCTACATCAATCTCAAAACCAAAATGGACAGATTGACAAAGTTTGGTCATTGACAATATGGAGGTCACATAAAGAAAAACGTCAAGGTGATAAAATATTTGATAACAATTGTACCAGCATTCCATCCTAAACACAATTTGGAGTTCAAGAGGCTGAGTATCCACAGAATTTAAAGCACAATGCAACTGTCCGATACAAAGATTGTGATACTTACATATCCAAAATCTATATGTCACGGCTGCTTTGGAGCACGGACACTTCAACTGAGGTAGCCTGTTCGTGTCCGACAAGTGTCGATACCGACACTCTTTCGACGCTCTACATAATCATTTTTTACCTTTTACTATAAATATTATATATTTTTAATTCAAAGTTATTAATAAATAACAAATGAGTATTCATATTTAAAATATTTCAACGAGAAAAAATCACTGTGTCGTGTCAGTACTTTTTTGAAAAATCGCGTGTTGACGTATTCGACAAGTAACGTGTCGTACACGTGTCTGTGTTAGTGCATCATAGCATAGTTGTATTTCTATGACATATATTATGAAACTAAAAGTGGACGGTGGGAAGCTAACATATAATAATAGGAGGTAAACTTTGATAAAAAAAATTTGACGTCATATCCTATGTAAAATTTTCTAATAAAATGATGAAAATTATATTGAAAATTTGTATCACAAAATAATAATTGAAAATTTTTAAAGAAAATAAAAGTTATACACCTCGTCCTCTTTTAAAGATGAACGTTTGAAGCACATTTAACTATTTTCAATATATGTTTGGACCATTCAATATGCCTATGATAGAATTCTCAAAATGAGATTCGAGATGACACGGTCAATTTGTTGATTCGGCTAACGTACAATCATTAGAAAATTTTTAAAGTTAGCATGTTATTGAAATTCTTAAAATACTAGTTTGGAATGACCTACTTTGACAAGCCGTACATTTTCTACGATTGGCTGTTTCGCGTGTCATTAACAACGTAGAAAACCAAGCTGGGAGCACTTCAAAATGATATTAAACATGTTGTATCTCGGCTTCATTGGACATCTCATATTGACTTTGAAAATTGAGACAAAAACATAAAAATCTAGAGAGGAAAAAAATTGCCCCAAAGTTGGGGATGCCCACCCTTGTGTCTGCCCTTGCAAGATACAGATTTCAAACTAACAATGATATCATCACTTCTCCCAACTCATCATTTAAAAAATCTCTACTAACAAAAAAGGTGGTTTACTTTCCCAATTACCTAGAACACTGATACATTCATTATACTCAAATTTTATTTATTTTTTGCTTATTCCAAATTTTTAGAGGAAGCTAGCTGGTACCATCCACTTGATGACCACAACACTCGTATTCATGTTTAGAAACTGCAGCTATGTGGTATCAAGGGCAGATACAACTACATAAAAATTAGATCAAATAAACTTCAGTTAAAGAACCCCAAATTCAACCACATTATTGTCCTTGAGTCACAAATGAAACCTGATAAGTGAAACATTAAGACCAAACTGATAATTTTCCAATAAAATTTAAAAAAATTTAGATTGCACGAGGACAGTGGGATATATAACTCTGATGAACTTCAAAAAGAAAGAAAACAGAAGTGACCTGTTAAGGGAAATTCAAATAAATTTTCTGAACAGAATACTTGCACGTCGGCTTGGTCGAACTCATTAGCACAACAAACATTTCAAAATCTACCCCTAATCACAACGAAGTTATGAACAACAACAACAACATAATGAATTAGTAAATGAAAAAGACTATATATACATCCTAAGATCACAAATTAACAAAACATTTTCGAATATTCGCAATAAAGAAAAAAATAATCCCTGCAGTAAATACAACCTGACAACTTTAACACCCTAGCACACAGGCATCAATGCTAATGCCTCATAAAATTGACATAAATACAAACAGAAACTAAAAATATCCGCCCTCATACAAGTACAAACAATAATTCTTTGACGCGTTAAAACCAGCAGCTCAATCAATTAATTATCACAAAAGCCCTAAACTAGATATAAAATCAGTAACACACAAAATCATTGAACCTTCAAGAAGATTCGTAGCTGCAATCAGCTATGAAAATTCGCCACAGTACCAATTAAGAATCACCAATCAATATTAAAAAAAAAAAAAAACGAATAAAATATCGAAGCAATGAAAAAGTCAATCAAATTCAATACCCGCAGTTCAACTACACATACACGTCTATATAAATATAAACATAGGCATGTACACAACATATACATACAAATATATATGTATATATGCAAGGATATGTATGTACCTTGTGTTTACGATTATTGAAGTGAGGAGGTGAGTTGATAGAGAGAGAAAGAGAGACTTTCAGTGACAGGAGGACGACTCAGAAAGATGGCATCATTTGAACAGTTGATATTTAGAATAATTGAAATTAAGACCATGTTTGCCATGATGATAATTTCATTCCTTTTATGGAAATTTGTATCATTGCTCAGCCGTTTTATGGTCGGGGTTGTAAGTTAATCTCAACCTTTGATTATCATCGATTTTGAGTTTTGATACCCAATAAATTTCGGACGTTGATATAAACGTCGGAATATAACTTCACAGGCCTCAGCCAATGGTGAATTATTTACAAACAATCAAATCCAAAAGCTTGACTGACCCATATATTACCTCTTAGATAGTTTTGAATTTTGACCAATTTAATCTTATTATTGGTCCAACTAAAACCTAACATAACCCTATATATATGTTACTTTGAACCCTAGCCAAGTGTGTATAATTTGTGTGCAAAAGAAGAAATCATGGCTGCTCAACATCGAGTGTGAAAAACGATTGACTGCTTTTGTGCCAAAATCGGTGGCCTCCTCCTCCATTTTGAGCCTATTCTTGCACCGCTTTCATTGGGTTTCATCTTGTCTTTGTAGCTACGAAACATCATTATTATATTGTCCTTTGTGGGTGAGAATGATAAACAACGTAGGTGAATATATTGATTGTAGGTTGGAGTTGATTAGATTAGTTATTTGATAGAGAAAGATAATGTGAAATTGAGCTTGAAAAACACCATTTTCAAGATCCTTGGAGCAAACTTTCGTGAGAATTGGTATCAGAGCTATAAGTGATGGATTTAGCTCGAAAAATTGACCAAAAATTGTCCAGAAAACCAATAGATTCGAGGAAAAAAAGATCGAAAAGCTATCCAGAAAATTGCCTTAAAATTGAACATGTTTGTGAAATTTTCGGCCAATACAGAGACCTGGTAGTGAAACGAAGACCACCAACGTGACATGTAGATGGAAGCAATCACGGAGGTTAGGCGCATAATCGACATGTTGCGATGCGTGAAGCCCACGCATAGAGATTGTTAGCGGCGCTTGATGTGGTTTCAGGTGGAGGTCTCTTTAGGCAGTTTGTTCCTGATAATTTTTCTAATAGTTTGGTATTAGTTTTCTGTTTCAGGTTATACAGTGAATTTTTAATAGATTTGTTCTTCGAGCGTTAGGGATTTAATAGTAGTTGATTGATTCTTATGATTGCTGGAGACTTTAAGACGAATAGTGATAGTTTCAAAGTGATAAACTCGCATCTCTGATGATTTACGGACTCAGATTAATTTACTCTAGCATATTGGTTTATTCCAATTTAAATTTTATCATTAGCCGTTATCGTGTGAGTGACATTAGGATTGGAGTTACCGTGTAGGATAACATTGCTTGTGCTAAAAATTCAGAAATTATTGGCTCTGTTTGAAGTGTTGAATTTGATTACAAGTTGGTAATTGATTTTGTGTTCTAATTGTCGTCTAGTCACTATGTGATACTGCATTGTGTGAAAAACTAATTTTTTGTTGACAAACATTTTCATTGCATTGATTATTCTGCTAGAACACCTTAACTTGACTCGTTTGAACATTCATTTGATCTAAGATGCGAATCTTACGAAACCCTGAGAATCTAGAACGGTATACATCGCAGCTCTAGGATTACTTTCTGCGACCTCTTTGTGCATTTTAGTTGTTCCGTCTTTCAAAAATATCTTCACATTTTGAAATTGAAAATTTCAATGAGAAAGGGGATTTTGGTTCAACAAATAGTTTTGAAAGCCATATATGGTAAATTTTCTCCAAATTTAATAGAAGAACAAAAAGAATAATAAGATAAACTAATTACACTTATCTGATGTTGTTTTGAGAAAAATAGAAAAACTTGATTTTACAAAGAGTTTTGACAAAAGTTGAAGGACTTATATTTTCTCAAGTCTATTTTTAATAAGTTGTACTTGCTTGAAGGATTTTTCAGTTTTAAATAAACTTGTTCAGGATATTATTTTCAACATGTTCCATTGATGACAATTTGGATGTTTTCAACAAACTTGTTCAAGATATTGTTAATTGTGTGAAAATTTGTTTGAAATATATAAGGTCATTATCTTGCTTAGTTCTATGCCTGATTCATATAGAGATGTTAAAAATGTAATTAAATATGGTAGGGACACTTTAACACCCAAGATTGTCATAGATTCCATTAAGAGTAAGGAGATGGAGATTAAGGCTGAAAAAGAAGATAAAAGTGGTGAGTTACATATGATGAGGAGTAGAAGTTTAAGTAAATGAATTTGGATAGAGCTTAAGACAGCAGTGATTCGAGTTGTGATGAGAGTAGTAAGAGAAAATGTAAGAGTTGTGACAAGTCTAGTAGTAAGCGGTATTATGGCTATAATAAGTTTGGACACTTTGTTAAGGACTCTCCCAAGAAAAAGAATAAGCAGAAGGGTAAGAAGAGAAGTGAGACGAATGTGGCTATAAGGTCGAGTGATGACCTTATTGAGGTTTATTGAGATTGAACCTAGTTACTGTATGTGCATTTGTGTGTAATCCTTTCCGCATGTGTATAATTGCTTAATTCTGTTGCATGGTTATATGGCATCTCAATGTATTTTAATAGGTGCGATTTGTAATGTGTTTTCATGCATAGTAGGCTATGATGCATTACAATAAGTGTGTTGAATGTCTTTTGGTAATGCGAAGTATAGATGCCTAAGGGTATATTGATAGGTTGTACCGGGGATTTGAAGCGTGACATTTGAATCACGAGTGAAGATGTAATTAAATGTTGGAATCCTTTCTTTATAAAGACCCTGATTAGGTGAGGCACTTCTATTACTTCTGTTAGGTAGTTACATATTATACGCTTAGGTTAAGAGAAGTGATGTGGTGATAGAAGATTATCCCAAGGACTTAGGATCTATTGTGATTCACCAGTTAGACATGAGTGAGTGATCTATCTAGTGAGCATAGTGGACAATGACATGAGATATATGTTCTCGAGGTGTGAGCAACACGAATTGAATAGGATATGTGTGGTGAGATCTATTCATGAGTCATTCACGCATTTGTTGTATATGTGTTAGCTTTCTGTTGATCTATGTGAACGTATGTTCGAAAAGATCTGTGGATTATCCTATGTTATCTCCATCGCATGATTATTTGTTCTTGGCTATTCACCGTGATTATCTGCTTTTACTTGGGTATTTGTTTGTGACCTTAGTCCTGATGAGTACGTGGTATGATACGTGTTTCGAGTCCGAAGCAAAAGGTAAGGTCCATGATTCCAATTTTATGGGTTATCTTGATTATGCAAGTACAAATTGTGTGTTTTGATTGTTTGTAAGTTTATTGAGGCATCAAAATAGAGATTTGTCAGATTTTAATATCCAATAAATCTCAAGTTATGATATAAACGTCGAAATATACTTCACAGGTCACAAGCATCGGCCAATAGTCAATTAGTTACCAATTATCAAGTCCAAAGGCTCGACCCGACCCATATATATTACCTCTTGGATGGTTTTGACTCTTGGCCCATTTAACATTATTATTGGTCCAACTGAAGCCTAATCTAACCCTATGTGTATGTTGCTTTTAACCCTAGCTAAATGTGTGTGATTTCTGTGCAAAAAGAAGAAATCGTAGCTACCCACTGAGTGTAAAAAATGGTTGCCATCTAGTGTGCCAAAATCGGTTGCTTCCACCTAGGGATATCAACGAGTCGAGACGAGCCGACTCCCGAGCCAAAACTTGAGGCTTGGGCTTGGCTCGGGTAAAGTGAGCGGGCTTTTTTCCGAGCCCGAGTCGGGCCAAGCAAAAGCTCGGTGAAAAATTTTTTGCTCTACCCAAGCTTTTGGCTTGGGCCTTTACTGGCCGAGCGGGCAGGCTCGCTTTTTTTTACCTCTTTTATTATTATTATTATTATTATTATTATTATTATTATTATTATTATATTAATGCCTGCCTTTTAAGGCAGCCAACAACTGTCCTGCCTTAAAGGCAGGCAGCTACGGCTGCCTCTTAAGGCAGCATTTTGCTCCCTAATTTTATTTTTTATTTTTTCCCTTCTCAGACTTGCGGGCCGGCTCAGGCTCTGCCCATCCTCCTAAAATGAGGCTCTGCCTGAACCTCGAGCCGAGCTACGGGCGGCCCGTGCCCAAGCTGACGAGCCAAATTGCCATCTCTACTTCCACCTCAATTTTTTGCTTCCTCTTGTACCTCTTTATTTGGTTTTTCTTCATCTCTTTGTGACTACAAATCCTTACCATTATCTCTTCCTTTGTTGGTAAGATTGAGAAGCAATCAAGGTGAATTTATTGATTGTCGGTCGGAGACGCTTGGATTGGTTGTTTAGTAGAAAAGGGTAACGTGATATTGAGTCTAAAAAACACCGTTTTAAAGATCCTTGGAGCAAGTTTTTGCGACAATCAAGACCAATCATATCTTTGTTAAATTAAAACGATAGTTGTATATTTAATTTTTTAAAGTTGGATTTTGTTTTACAGCTTGCATAGTTGCATAAAATTTGAAAACTTGAAGCGAAATACATTTTTTATGGATGATTTTCAAGTGATGTAATTTTTCGATTTTATCATGGTCCGATGTAAAATTGAAAAATGTGCTTCTATTTATTTACTTTTTGTATAAAGTTGTTGGAGACAGAAATCAGTAGACATACCAAAACGTTCAAATGAGTTTCTTAGCTCCATTATCGTTTACACATCCCGACTTTTATTAATTATTGAAAACGTCAATTCCATGTTATAGCAAAATGAAAATCATTAGAACTTATAACAAAATTTGGTAGAATTATTATTAGAAATTAATATCAAATGAAAATCAGATGCTATCCATCAGATTTAAGGAAGAATAATGATAATTGTAGTATCTCACTACCACAACCGCCACATGTATGCAAATGTATGACAACTATGGCAGTAAGGAAATTTGTCATTCAATTATTGTCACGCTAAATACGAAGAACAATAATCTCTATTAGAGAAAATCGAGTCAACTGAGACATCTATTCCAAGCTAGTGGTCAACTTCAAAGGAACTCGAAATCGACAAGAACTAGACATCTTAACACTAAAATTAACAATGTTACATGTACATAGAAAAATTTACAGGAATTTTTACAGAATATCACATGGCAACATTTCGTTGAATTTTGGATAAAAAACATAATTAAACCAAGATATAAAATTTCGATGCATTTTCCCTATACAAATATCATTTTTGCACAAATATTAGACTCAGATTAAGTTTCACATCCGTGGCAATATTATTTGGGAGTAGGCGTAGCTCCAACTCAAGTTGGTGGCTTGCTCTCCAACATCCACCTCTTTTGGCGGGTTTCAGGCACACTACCGGCTGAGAAAGTTCTTTAGTAGATTGGTTGGTGGGCAAACCATGATTTTGTACATTTTCAAGTACAAATTTTGAAGGGAAAATTCTCAAGAAGTTGTTGATGTTGGATGGGTGGAGTCCACATCACGTTTGGCTAAATTTAAAAAAGTGGAAGATCTTTCAAGTACCTTTTTATTTATATAGGAATGAAAGCAATCGTGCCCCTACAGTGGTTAAGTATATTATAGCCCCTGTTTGAGTTCCATTAAATTTATAATACATTTTTCTCTTTATTCTTTCTAACTACACACTCTTTAATAAAATAATATTATACATAAACCAAAAACATTTTCTTCTTTTTTAGTCACACAGTCTCTAAAAAAAAACTATTTCAAAAATTATAACATCAAATAATGGGGGCCAAATGGGGGCTATATTTTTTTATATGTAAATTAACAATATTTTCACTCTTAGAACTCGTACTCGATCAAAATTTGATATCGTGTGAATAAATCGAATAGGAGAAAGAAAAATTGAACGTGTTTGACAGTTTAATAAGGGAAATATCAAATATGGAAAGTGTGAGTGCTAAAAATATTACAGAAAGTACTGAATTGAAACTCAGCATAATAGAATGTTATTTGCCTAATTTTAGTATTATTTCCATCAATGCCCTTTATAATTTTTATTTGTAGAATGATTTATTTGGGTCCAGATTTGGATCTCCAACCGAACGGTAACATCCCATTATTCGAACTTTTATCTAACTCTGGACTCTGTGAGTTTGGGCTATAACTTGGGTCCATTAGTTTACTGGTTCACTTTTTCGAATTTTTGTTGACTTTGGCTCGATTTAATATTGAGAAAATTACAAAACTATAAAGATTTCAAAACGTTTTTAAAAATAATAAACTTATAATTTATTTTTTTCAAAAATTGGGTGGGCACATTTTGTGAACCCTATTATAATTTAATTAATCATGTCATGGTTACAATCATACAAAATTTATGATCACAATCACGTGCTCATTACAAATCGCACATGGTTCCAATTATAAAGACAAATTGTGAGTTACATTTATAAATTTAGTCACAAAGTATACAATTTTTTTATGCCACATATTATTTTTTTATCATTTTTATTGGTCACAATTATAAAGAAAAATTATGAGTGACAATTATAAATTTAGTCACAAAATATACTTTTTTAGGCCATATATTATTTATTTATTACAAATTATTAATTTTATCAGTCACAATTACACAAATACTCTTCATCCCACGTCACTCCACTCCACTACCATCGACGCCACCTCGCCATCACGTCTTCCTTAAATCTACAATCACATCCACCTCCAATAACAGTTTGGCAATATGGTGGTCATCATTGAAGGGATCCAGATCAATGGATTGATAGTGACTGAAATTTGGGGGATGGCTAAGGCTTTATAGACTAGAGCTCCTCTTGCCGTTGTCATCAATGGCGCCTTCGTAGTGACGACATTTGTGACCATGTTGGATTGGCGACGATTGTGGTGGATTGGAGGTGGTAGAGTTGGTGGGGGTCCATCGATGATCAGTGGACATGATGATTTGGGCGACAATTTCGGTGCAAGCAGTGGGCGACAGCTGGTATCCACAACAATGGACTTCCACAATTTGAGGATGGGAGATGGCGGGGGTGGATTTGGGGAGGATTAAATAAAGTGATAGGGTGGAGTGGTATGATGTAGGGTAGGACGGTTTTAATATATCCGTAATTTTTGAAAATATAAACTTAAATTAAAAATTTTTGAAATGGAAAAATAAAAATCAAGAATGGGTGCAATTTTCCTTTAATATTTTATAATGTTTTTTCTTAAATGAATCTCTTTAAAGACATTACCAATACTCTAGTAGTCAACAACTATGATGATTGAAACGATATGAAAAATCAAGACTAGAAGGGAAAGTGGAGGGACTTTGAAAAAGTTGGTTGGATTGAATTTCTTTATTCAAGCCACGTCACATGAAAAGAATAAAATAAAGTGAGAGGCAAGACGTTAAAGAAAATAATAAAGTTGATTAGGTGTTTTAATTCGTCTAATTAAAAGTTTTTTCTTGTTTTGACCTCCACTAATGACTATACCTATTTATGTTGACACATAATTATATTTTAAATTGGGACCAATTTTTCATGATATATGGTGATTAGTCCTATAGATTTTAATACCTCCAAATCTAATTTCTTTAGCGTTGTACATTGGTGATTAGTAATTACACACATTTGGAAAGTATTCATAACTCATTGGCTATTCATAATCGTGATTTAAAACTATGGTCCACCAAACTTTACTCGATCATTATAGTTACATACCGTGAATAATTTTTTGTATTAAAGGAGTGTTTGAGTCACATTATTTTGGTAATAATATATTCTTGAATAGTGTATTGATGAAAAATGTATGATTAAAAAATAAAAATAAAAATTGATTTACGTGTAATATTATTTTATTAAAGAATATGTGATTAAGATGATGTTAAATCACTATTTAAGAATGTAATTTTTTTAAATAAAATGACTCAAACAGACCCTAAATCATCTAGAAAATGTAACAAGAAATTCAAAGAGAGAAAAAGCGTTTAAGCCAAATTCTTTTGACGTAAATTTATTTATTTATTTTGTTGATTTCAAAAATGAAATAAATCAAAACAAACAAGATCTTTAGGGTTGCAAATTACAAATAATTTATTGCATTAAATCTTTCAAATAGCAATGAATCAAGAATAGAAAAAAAAAAAAAAAAGATTTAATGTAGTTGATCCGAATTTAATAATAGTATTGCATAATTATGTTTTTGTTGATTTTAAGGATAAAAAAATCCGCTTTAAACATCCTTAAAACCATTATTAGGAAGCCATTTTAACTTAAAAAGACTAAACAAGTTGGCATAATATGATTCCCAAATACATAAATTCTACATTTCATTATGACCAAAAGAATATCTTTATAAAACAAAAGATGTAGTGAAAAAATCTAAAGCAATACCCCCAACCTTTTGCAACAAAATCTTTGTAGGGTCCCATTATGGGATTGTTCTACTTATTTTAATGTAAAGAGAAAGTGACATTCAATTATCACAATGAATTGGACTACACAATTTCTTGAGAAAATTCTCTATTGTCACTGTCACCCTCATTCCACCCACCCCACTGCAACAATATCATTATCCACCATTCTTACTAAGACAACCCCATAACACCTAAATGCCAGCCACTATTCTATATGTAAGAATAACATTCATCAAGAGGCCTTTTCATGTACTTAATTATGATTTAACCTAGAACACAACATTAATATTGAGAAAGACGTCGAATTCAATATGTTACCACTACAAACAAGAATCTCGAATCAGTGGAATTGGACCTCTCTCAAATAGATGGATTTGGAATATATTATAGAACCAAGTACATAGAACTTGGAACAGGGACTAAGATGCACAAGGCGGAGTAGTCACTTTGGAACAAGTTCTTCTATTGATAGCAACTTATTTCTCCAATAACAAGTTGGACACTGATCTTTAAAAATAAGCAAGTTAGTCCCAGTTCTCACTAGCATTATCAAATTAGTTGCCCTAATTCACCGTTGACTACGAAAATGGTAAGAGCCATAGACATGCAAATAGGACATTAAGGATATAATATTAACTGGACAAGGGTCTCCACATTAAAAGGTTAAGAACTTAGGATCCTCAGACTTGGAAAATACTCACCAGACAAGCCTTGGATCTAATTAGCAGTATATTAATTAGAGCTGAACTAAGATGGAAGTTCATATGTACATATACTGTATACATTACAGAGAGTCATGGATGATGGATCATCTGACTTGTGTAAATCAATCCCGAATCTCAATGGGTGTAGACTGATTTTAGTCTCTTCGATGCCGCGTGGATAAACCCAAATATCACTTGTACGTCGTCCACTTCCTGTTGCATCAATAAACACCCACCACATGAGATTTATTTTTTTATTACCGAGTGATTTTAGTCTCTTCATTGTGTTTCAAGTTGGTCATTAAACTTAAAACCTTGTTACAGTTTAGTCACTTTATCCATACCTGTGAAGAAAAATGCTGCTCCACAGCAGTGATCAGTTGTTCCTTTGTAGGGTTGTGAATATTACTTGCCTAATACGGATACAGAAAGAGAGGTGCATTCAGCATAATATGCGACATGTTTAACAATAAAGAAGAGAAATGGAAAGCAAATGAAAGCTAATAAAACCCACAAGGTTGAAGCTTCGCCAATATCTCCACAATGATCCGGTTCCCAACTTTGTCAAGTTCACTCTCTGATAATCGCAACAAAAGGATAAAAAACAAGTTAGTATGAATTCTAGTTGTCCAAAAACAGCGAGGCATTATTGTGTTGATGTTGAAATCTATAACGAACAGCACAATATCAAGAGACCTGCATAAGATTAACTATGATTATCACACAAGTCACAGCTAGCATTTTACAAAAGGTAAAAATCCCTGCATGAGCTAAAAAATGTTGTTAAGCCTCTGTTCTTCAGTCCAACTTGACAAAAGGTATATTAATAAAAATAAAAAGAGAAAAAGAAAGAATTCTTCAATCTGCCCCTCCACCATCCATCCCCTGCAACCCACCGCCCGGTGACTGTTCCATCCTCTATCTTCACATCTCCTAAAATTGGATTTTGTTTCCGAGTTTGTGTGTTGTGTGGATCAGTTTAATGTGAGTGGCTCCTATTCATATAGAGTAATTTACATCAACCCAACTTCCTAAAATTCTTCGCCCATATATTCGAAACTATCATCCTTTTCCATTGGACTTACCGGATGAAGCACGTGACATTTTGATTGAATTTCTCTGCAACTGCTGCCATTTATTGACCTTGCTGATGCAGTTGGGGACCACGGCCTACTGTACCGAATCCTTGGCTTGCTTAGTTTGCCAAACTGAAATCCAGTGGCTGTTCAAAGAGACAATAACAACATTAACACCAGAAAAGAATTTTAGTGATTTTCCCAGATAAAAAGTGCTTCAACTTACAAAATCGATAATTGTCTTTTTGACAAATGTCAGATCCACTGCTAGAATCTTCAAAATCATAATCATCATCTTCTTCATTTCCAGTGGGAGGTTCCAACACACTCAACGCATTCCTTTGGAGCTTGACCTCAACCCCATTCTTCAAAACCTAGTTTAAAATATACAGACTTAATAAACCATCCAAGAACATAATTGAAAGTGAAAAACAACGAAAATAGGTTGGAGAAAGCACTCCTCTTCGTTCCCCGACCAACATAAGCATGCGCATGTTTATGCACCAACAAAATGAATAAATAAAACTTATCAGAAATATAGTCCACAGTCTTCGAATTTTTATTTTTATTTTTATTTTTATTTTTTATTTATTTATTTATTTATTTATTTTTACCAGAATAGAATAGGGAAACGTCCAGAAATAGAAAAAATTGAAACAACAGCCTTGAGAAACTCCCTTGAACGAATTCATGATCCAATATAGATATGCAAGGCTTATCAAATGAGCAGAACTGCATGTAGAAACAGAACACACTTGCATATAGCACTTTAATCTTTCAAGCAAAGTGAGGAAATTTCTTCAGTTCATCAATTTACCGTCTTTCTTTTCCTTTTTTCCATTTTAACTGCGAGTTAAGAGGAGAACTTCAGCTTTTTTTGAGACAATACTTTCTACAAGTTCATTACAGAAAATATTTATAGATTATTTCAACTTATAGAACTATAAATAAGCAGAGCCCTGAAAATTAGAAACTGTACCTGTAAGATTTAAAAGATTACTCAGTCAGTACATAGAACACGTGGTTTTATTTTGATATGGTGGATAGCTCACATTGAATTTTACATACAAATAAATCCATAAATATTTCATATGGCGTGCTAATTTCACTTATCTTATATTTGAAAATAAAGCATCACGTTATAAAAGATTAGCAGGACCAAACAACCAACTCAACTAAGAAAAATCATTATTGAAATAAAGAAAATGAAAAAGATAAAAGCAGATGATATCATTTGTAAGGCGGTCAAAAGGCTAATACCAGCCAATGCCAACCACCAAGTCCTACAGCTTTCTTGACAACACCTTGCAGACCCACCAAAACACTCTTTGTTCTGTTATTCCCTGTTACAATAACCTTAGTATGCCTCGGAAGAACGGAGAGCTCTTCATCGCCAATTTCCTCACGGAAAGGCAATAAAACCCGGGACGAGCATACTTCAGCCTCCAGCATTTTTCACTCTAGAGTAGAGTTAATTGGGAGAAAGGAAATCAACTGCAAGACTGATGCTTTTACTTTGCAATTACTACCAACTGCTCTACATATCATTCAAGCCTATTTGCCAAAATTCTCAATCAAGAAACTAAATTAAGAAAAAACCAATTCCCATACCGAGTAATTTGAACCCAAACTGATGCAAAACCTACAATTAGTCCTATGATGAATTGAAACCCAGAAATTTCGCCTAAAGGCCTCCTTTTTGGAAATCTTTTCTGACTTGGATGTCTTGATTTAACTAATCTTCATATGCAGAAATTCCAAATGAACACCCTGAAAAGTCAAATTGAGGGTGAATCATAAAGAAATGCAATATAATAAAAAGCAATAGTATAAATTTTTAGCTGATTTTGCACGAGCAAGAGAGGCAAAAGGCTGACATGAATATTTTATGGTAGTAGGAAGGCAATGAGCCACCAATGCATCGAATCACTTGATTCACGAATTCAGTTTGATCACAATAAATGAACATATAAATACATGAATATACACAACAAATTCTGAATTAGCCCTTCAAAATAGGGGGAAAATCAAAACTGGAGGTTTTACTCACTAACACGTACACACATTTAATTTTGTTATTTCTATGAATTGAAAAAATCTCCAGTTTGCCCGTATTGGTTCACTCTGCATCGCTTCTCCAAAAAAAGTCAAAAAAAAAAAAATACTTCAAATAATTAAAAAACCGATTTTATCCAAATGATTGAAGATAACAATGCAAGCAATAAAATAAAATCGGTAGAAATTAATAACGATATTAAAAACAGGATAATTTTAACGAAACCTCTTAAATTTTATAGGAAGTGACTTGAAAGAATTGTACCTGAAAACTTCCAGCAATTCAATACACGCGAGTAAAGCACATAAATCGAGAACTTGAAAGAACGAAAAGCATTATTTTGATTAAAAACCAAATGGGTCGAAGTGAAAAACCTTAGCCACTAATAAAAAAAAAAAGGAGGGTTTCACTGGATTAAATTACTGTGATCGAAATGAAGTGAAAATGGCATGGATCCGCTAGAAAACAGCACAAAATTTCAAGAACACTGGTTATTATTGGATACTCATGTAGAGAAAGAGAGGGATGAAAGAGAAAGCATAAGTCCATGCAGTCAATGCATACCAACTGCCATGGGAGGGCTGTGTGGGATGCTAAAATGCACAGGGAGAGGCCCACCCGTACGGTCATTGCTTGTACTCTTTCCACGATGTTTGACTGGTTACCGGATATGAGACGGCTAAGCCGGTGGGTGTTTGTTGGCTCGGCTTATACGGATTTTATCTATATCCGGTTGTCCATTGCAAATTGCAAATTGCAAATTGCAAATTGCAAATTGCAAATCCAGGTTTGTCAGAATTTACTTTTGGGGCAAGTATTTCAAATTTGTGAGTTGCTACACTGTCAGGCCATTTCTTTACAAAAGTTGTACGGGCTTTTCATAATGGTGAGTCAGCCTTTTTATATTTTTTTTTAATTTTTTTTTTTTTAACATGATGGGCTAACCTGGGGTCCACCTCATCGTGGGGAACCTATACAAGACCTGGTAAATGAACCCTCACAGACCAGCATTTACCTTCAAACTTTGGTACATTTTAATCTATGCTATGCCTAAAATATGAAAAAATAGAAATGTTACTTGTGCGTGCACATATAATATTACAGGTGTTAATCTATGCTATACCTAAAATATGAAAAAAATAGAAATATTGCCATGTGACATTCTTTAAATTCATCTATGCAATTTGTCTGTACACGTAACATTGTTTAAGAAAAAAATATTTTTTTTTTCACATATTATCCCCGTCAAAGCTTGTTTGCAAGATGTTTATTAAAAGTTTTAATAACAAATAGATAAAAATGAGTTGTAAATAATTAGATAGTATTTATAAGTATCAAGAAATGTATGGATGAAGAATGATTAGACCATGCCCTTCATGAGATGACCGAGTTGGTGGAGTAAGTGAGCACGGAGATCTTTGGTCACGAGATCTATTTTCCCTACCAACACTTTTTCGATTGAGTCTGTCGCACCGGACTTGCATAATAAGGTTTACCTGACAGGTGTGATTTGCAGGCTATTGCGTCGGCCCAAGAATTTACCCAATGCGCACCTCGAAGGGTAACGGTTGCGGGTTCCCCCGTAAAAAACAAAAAAAAAAAAACGATTAGACCATTTATAATTAAACAGTTTATAACACTAGCCAAACATGTGTTTATCTTGTTTATATGTACTACTATATCGGTATGGAGACACGTAAAGAGCGTAATTTAAAAAGTATTAAATTTTTTATTCACACTTTACTGTTCAATCAATTTATACAAGATTTTAGTCAATGGAAAATAAATTATATACAAGTTCGCTAAGAATAGACGGTCGATAAACTATATTTTGATTTATTTAACTTTTTATGCTAATAATATGTATTGGTCAATTAATAAACATTTTAAAAGAATACATGTTTATCTTTTTAACAATTTAAACTTGTAGATAAGATTAATAACATAGTATCAAAGCCAAGTAAATTGTCCAAGATCAAGTTTTGTTGCTGTCCATTTATAAAAAATTGTCAATAAGTTAGATATTAGTTCATGTTTGGTGTTTATATTTTTAAACTTGTTTTCAATCACATATTTTATGAAATTGCTTCAAAATCCACATAATTCTTTTAGCAAAAACCAAAAAAAGGGCACTAACTTATTCATATAGTCAAGAAAGTGCTCCTTGAATATGAGCTTTTGACAATGAGGGGTGACAGCATCTGATTGGGATTTTTTTCAAACTATCCAATTATGCGTTGACACATATTCCCCTATTTTTGAATCTATTATTGAGCTTGTAAGTGTAGTATGATTCCAGAGTCAAACCACCTATCTTAACCCATTTTCGACAACCCCCTAATAAATAGCTCAGATTCATCATCTCAGTTTTTTACTCTTCATAGTTACCCCTACAACGTTATCTTCTACAAGGTTAAAATTGTTATTTTAAATAAATTAGAGCCAAGTCGACGTGGTTGAATCTAAATGGACAATTATTAGCCTGTTTGAGAAGCACACGTGGTGAGTACCTATCCGTCAAATCTTGTACACGCAAAATTATGTGCTCCTACAATTTTGTGTTGTAGGAATTTCAAAATCTTTAAATTCGTGAATGGTCAATCATTATTTTAAAATTCATTTCTAAAAAACTCATTTTTAACCATACGTTCTCGGAATAAAATATTTTGCATGTAAATTCAAAATTTTTCTTACTTTTTACCACATATTCTCTAAAAATTCATTATTTCAAAACTAATTTTCATTGAATAATGATAGACAAACTGGGGTTGAGTCTCAATAAATCCTTACTTTAACTACATTTTGACAATTTTATAGGAAGATTTTTCTATTTAGCCTGTCACTATTCTTTTTTATGGAAATGTCTATATTACCCTTAATGAAATGATTCTTTCTATATTGCAATATATGTCATAATCTTTTAAACATTTTATCTTTAGTTTACTCTATTTTCGATATTTGAATATAAAATCATTCTATGATCTAATAAATAAGAAAAATTCGCAACATATATATCATATTTTCTTAATAAAATACCATATTCTTCAAATGGTAAATTTGTATTTCTTAATTGAGATATAATATTCTTTATTTCTTCTAACCTTCTTTCTAATAAATTATCTAATTCTTCAACTGTATATCCTGGCATTTAAAATAATTATCATGCAATTGTCCCTGCGATTCTTTTAAGATCTTAAAAAGATTCATTTTAATTTTAGCAAAAGTTTAATAATTTCACCTTAGGTTTGATCTAGACTTGTATTCTTAGAATCGAGTGACATTCGAACTCTGAATTTGTAAACTGCTTCCTTCAACGGCCTCCTGCCTTCACGTAATTGTTACTATTTCAGCTGCTTGCTCTCACTGTATCAACTTCTAAAGAATAAAATTCTAGACTTCCGTTAAAGAAAACTCTCTTTTTGCTAAAATAAGAAGGAAACTTTCTATTAAATCTTTCAAGAATCTATGGGAAAAAGATTTAAAAACTCATATTGATATCAAAATATTGGAATTTCATTTCTATTAGGATTGATACAGGACTTATATTTGGTACAAATGGATTTCCAGAAAAATTGATTTTTTTTTTAAACTGAGAATAAACTATTGCTTACAACTCGAGAATTCAAGATAGGATGATCTCCTTCTATGATAATGTCTCTATTTATACAAGTTTTTAAGATTTTATTACATCATTGATTACATCAGCAAAGGCACGCTTGCCTCTCTATTTTCTTCCTTGGGCCTACATCTTCACATGTTGGTTCAAATTTTCTATTCAAAGAGCATTTTTTTCTATTATTGCTCTTTATCTTCAATGTCTTCACATGTAGTATTATTGTCCTTCATACACCTTTGTCAAAAGGTTGTCTTCTTCTTTCATTTCTTCACATGCAGGTGGGGCACTCCCTTAGCTGGCAGGATTCTTTTATAGTGGTAGGATATCCTGAAAATTGATGGATATCAAATCTTGTAATATAGTCTTTTAAAATTTCTGATTTTGCATATCTTCCATTGGATACCAACATCCAATTTTCATATTGGCACAGGCACGAGAATTTTTTATCAAACAAATTTTTGGCAATCTTGTAGATGACTTTAATTCCAAGTGCTCTTCTATGTCTGATCCATGATTTTGTCATTGTTGGGACTTTTCTATTATTTTCTATAACATCAATTTGGAAATTGACTGCAACATTTCCAATTGAGATTATGTGTTCAACCGGATAGTAAACAACTTCATCATATTTTGGACTAATTGAATAGAATTTTAAAAATATCTTCCTTCCCTTGGCAAATATGGATACTTCCTTAATGAATATGTCATCAAATTTCGAAATTTCAATAAAATCTTTTCCTAGATAAATCAAATCCATGAATCCATAGTATGTCATGATATTTATAAATGAAGGGTCACCTCCTTCCATGACTGTTATTCTAGGGTAAACATTATTTCCCGAAAAAATGAAATATGAATCATTTATTTTTATTTCATAAGCGATTCTGACTATATTTTTCTTCGTTTGGATCTAAAGGGATTTTATCTTCTTGGTCTATGATGCTGATTGTTTTGGTATCTCTTTTATCCCCATGTATCATAACTTTCTTGGTTGATGATACAGAAATGGAATCTCCTTTATTATCAGTTGGTATGTTGTCACATCTGGGTCGACTACTGTTTCCAGCTGTCCTTGTTTGGTATTGATTTGGAAAACCCATTTCTGAGTTCTTTGGTATATATGTCTCGGACGGTATATTTTTTAGTTGTGCTGCAATAGCATCAACTTGATTTTTGAGTTCTATGACATATTTATGATGCTCAGTAGTGATATTCAACAATATTTTCATATTTGAGTTTAACATCTCTGAGATCTGAGTTGCTCCAGAACTTATATCTTCGAATTCTTCTTTAAAAAAATTTGTCATTTCTTGTATATGTAGAATAGATTGGTATAATTCCATGACTTTTACTTTATCCATCAGCAAATTCTATGTTTCTGTTGAGAAAATCTGCAAGAAAAGGATTAACTCCTTTAATATAGATTATATCAAAATTATAAAATATTAAATAAACTTGCCATCTATGAAGCCTTCTGTATTGTGGTTCTGAGGGTAACTTATTCCCGACTAATCCTGCAGTTTGAGAATTATCAGTTTTAACAATAAATTTCTTGGATAATAAAAACAATGATAACTTTTTTATTCCTCTGATAATTGCTAGTAATTCTTTTTCACGAGTAATATAATTTATTTCTACTTGGTTAAAGGTTCCACTTGAGTATCTACAAATTTCATTAAGATCTGTTTTTAATATTGCTGCCCAATATTTATCTGAAACATCAGTATTAACAATTAAATTATCTTTTCCATCTAGTAATCTTAATTTTGGTAAATTTTTACATTCTTCTTTTAATGATTTAACTATTCTGCATGTTATTCATTCCATCCCTTAATATTTATTTTTCTAAGTAAAACTTGAATTTTATGTCATTTCTTAGAAAGATTTTCAATAAATCCTTCTGCATAATTTAAACATCCTAAAAATTTTTGAATTTGTTCCTTAGATTCTAATTTATTTGGAAAACTTTTTATCTTTTTGAATA